GGGTGAGTTGGAGAGAGGGTCTTGGTGTTCTGCCTACTTTATATCGCCTGATGAACTTATCTGGATAATTGTTATCAACAAGACATTTTGTCAACTTTCTTTCTTCTTCATCAAGTGTGTCTTCGGTGCATATTCCTTGGATTCTACTGATCAGATTATTCGAAATGTGTTGCGCAAATTTATTACACGACTCAGAAAAATTACATCTTCTTATTGGTGGTTTGTCTTAATTCATAAAGGGAACAAACTATTTTACAAGTTATCATTGGCCAAATCGTTTTATTTTTATTTTATGAATCTATCACATACTCAACCTGTGCACACGCTTATTCCTTAATTACTCTCCACTTTTCCAAAATTATGCATTAAGCAATCCATGTGTTGCAGCGGTTTCAACGTTTCAATTGTGTTCAATAATTTTCTTCGTTAATTACCACTTGCGCATCGACATGCTGATATAGATTAGTTAATGTTAACAAACATATCAGTACAACTTGATTGGAAAATTGTAGTGTATTGTAATAAAAAAGCTATAGATTATAAGGTTGGGCCAGAGATGAGGATCTAATAGAAAAGTGAATATGTCTTCGCTCAATCCTTCTGATTGCTTAATGTATAAATTGTGATAGCCTTTGTATATTAAAAAGAATCTGTGCACATATACACTACTTATTCATATAAGCGATCTAAACACCGGACGGCTGTTTCACTGCCTTGATGCTGAGTTCATTCGTAGTGTAGCCGGTTGCATTCAGCTAATATAATATAATATAATAGATATTTCACATAAATCAAGCATTTACATGATTGACATACCGTGTGTACAGGCATGATTATATTTGACAAGTGCAATTTGAAATGGAACACTGTTTGATGACATTAAAAATTGGAAAGATGGAAAAAATAACCTCTAGAAACCTTATTGGAATAGATTACAATATATTGGTTCAAGTCTAAATTATAATCTATAATATACTTATTGTTAGTCAAATTCATGGAGGAATTACGAAGTGTTGCGTTAATGGAAGGAAAGACGAGAGGTGGTACACAGGTGCTAGAGTAAGACACACAGGATACAGGCCTTGTGAACACTATCATTTCATCAATTAATAAGGGTTCAAAAATTTATAAAACTCCACAGTAGTGGGTGAGTACAGCATTATTTTGGTATTAACAGATACAAGGGACAAGGGACCAACTTTGCGATGACAAACAGAATTCAGAATGGAATTCGCTCCGTTGTTCATCGTATGTGCCAACAATATTCTGAGAGACGAATCAGTTGAAACCAGTCCGTTTCGAGCTAATTATATGGCTGGTCATGTGATATCAGAAACCGAATTCACAATATGCAGATTCATTCGAAATGTGGCCAATTCAACAGGAATTCGTATAATTCAAGGTGATGATTTCACTGTAGTTTCCTTCGGAATTGAAGAGTGTTCACATCACAGTATGCTGTCCACTTGATTCCGAAAATGGTGATCAAGAATCTGATTGAAATATACTAATTGAAACCGAATGAAGGATACGTGTCTCTCTTAGATGGCTGGAAAGCACGTCCACATATAATTCCAGAGTGGATATTCTCCTGCAGACAAGAACGTGTGAGTAGAATATTGGTGTCATCTTCTGTGGAATTCTCGAACAGTGAAGCAACTGATTTAGTCGTAAAGACAAAACAATTTAGATAATTGGGAAGGAATGCACAGAGGATGAAGCATGTACGGAGGTGGCCGAATATCAGTTCACTCAACAACAAACGAAGTCTCAATGTTGGCTTCTCACAATTTCTCGTCGCATTATGCCAAATGAACAACACTGATGCCAAATATCTCTGTGCTCTGATATCACAATGCAAGCATCTCAATGATCAGGCCATCATACACCTTTGTAATACTTGTGTATACACAGAATGACACCACACTTTCTCTTATTTCTTCTAATCACCACATTATCGCATGATTCATTAACATAATTCCACTTTCTTTCAGGTCATTATCATGGTTAATTAACTTTTCTCTATATAAAATCTCTTGTCAACAAACTGATAAATAATTTATTAAATAATTAATTAATTAAGACGATGAGGTGAAGAGAGAAATAGTTTATCAAAGTGTTGAATGTGATCACGCCACACCGTCAATACAGAGGCATGCTCAGTTTGTTTATTGAAGATCACTGAAGGTCAACGCCTACGGAAATGAATGCTTCTTTTACTACTACTACTACTACTACTACTACTACTACTACTACTACTACTACTACTACTACTACTACTACTACTACTACTACTACCACTACTACTACTACTACTACTACTACTACTACTACTACTACTACTACTAATACTAACACTAATACTACTACTACTACTACTACTACTACTACTACCACTACTACTACTACTACTACTGCTACTAGCAATAATATTTGTAGTAACATTTTCCAACTGGTACAACATCTCACGCGACTAACACTACTTGTATTACTATTATTA